TTTTACTTTTACAGTTACCTTAAAATAGTAAGGTAGACACATGAGCTACTTCCACAATTTGTCCACATCTATGAATGTAATTCAGGGTCCATTCTTATCTATGAGAATTCAGAACTGGAATGTTCATAATTTGGGGACTTACTGTACCTGAAGCTGGGTACTTTTTTTGTTAGTGGATATTTGTGATACATAATAATTACATTTGTTTGGGGGAATTGCTATATATATATATATATGCACATATATATGTATGCATATATATATATATACAGAAAATTTTATAGAGAGTAGTACCACAGTTCATGAACTTAATTTGTTTCACAGTTCTGGGGAAGATGGCTGTTTTAATGTTCCTGTAGGGAAGATGGCCCAGGTCATGTTCTCACTCAATGCAGAGTTCAGGAACAAAAGCGAAAGTTTGCTGAATGCTTCTGTTTGAGAAATGAATTGTGTATATACATGTGTATTATATATAATACATATACATAATTTGATCTATATATATTTTTTGATCCCTTTAGCCCCCCTCCCTACACATCCCCTCTCTACTTCCCAGAATCTCTTTCCTATTTTCCAAAAAGTCTGTCTCTTTACCATCTCTTGTTTATTTTAATCTTTAATTTTTGGTTTCTCATACAAGAGAATCCATGTGATATTTAACTTTCTGTCTGACTGATTTCACTTAACATTATGATGTCAAGATTCGTTTTCCTTCAAGTGACATGATTACATTATTCTTTATGGCTGATTATATATATCTATGTATCTGTCCAGATACATATATATCTCCCATATTGATTCATTTGTCTGTTGATGGATATATAGATTATTTCCAGAGCTTAGCTATTGTGAACTGCACTGCTATAAACATGGATATACATGTAGCTTTAGAGTATTATGTCTTTAACTCTTTCACCAATATGCCCAGAAGAGATATAGCTTACTCTAGTCAAAATGGCTACCATCATCAAGAAGGCAAAAAAACAAGTGCTGACAAGATATGAGGGAAGAGGAACCCTGCTACATTATCAGTGAGAGAGTGGCAGCTTGGTATAGGTATGTTAGGCCCAGGAAAGGAACTCATGGAGAGAAAGGGATGGTATACAGAGAGAGAGGCAAGAACTGATAGGGTCCTTTCTTGAGGAAACAGGAAGGTTAGCTTTGAAACAGTTTAAGGACAATTTTACTTTGAGACAAGAGGAAGGCAGAAGGAGGGAAGATAAATTATTTAAACTCTTAAAAGTGGGAATCAATTTCTTTTCTAAAAATTGAGATCATTGTACCAGGTAAACTCAGAGGTCTAATCATCTATTTAACGTTTTAAGAAATAATAAAACTCCTGAGTCCCCTCTAGTTGTATTTGTATTTTGATCTAAAAAGTTTTTAAATATGGTCTTAATTATTTTTAAAGAAAACCCAGAGTGATGCATTATTTAGGTCCTGGGACTACTGAAAGTATTTTTATATGTTAGTATTTTAACATTGTTCAGTGTCACATACATATTTCTCCCTGAGATGCATAACTTGTATTTACCATGAGGAAAGAAAACCCAAACTAACATGAGGAACATTATTTTCCTTTTTTGAGGCACTACATCTTCCAAGAATGTTAATGTTGTAAAAGACATAGAAAATCTGAAGAAATATTCTAGATTAAGAAAAACCAAATTCGTATAGCAACTAAAACCAATTTCTTATCCCAGATTTAATCCTGTATCAGAGAGAAATTATATGAAAAGGTCAATTGATGAAGCTAGAATACTGAAGGTGAATTAGAAAAACTTATTGTGTTGATGTTAAGTTGACTGAAATTGATAGCTTTACTGTGGTTATGTAAGAAATTACCCTAGTCATAGGATAATTTACATTAAGCTTACAGATCTATGGTGATACCTCAGTTCACAAATGCTTTTGTTTGCAAACAATTTGATTCTCACATAGAAGCATTTGGCGAATTTTTTGTTGTTGTTTGTAAACTCTGCACTGGGTGATGAACAGGACCAAGGCCATCTTTCCCACACAAACATGGCCATCTTTTTCAGAATTGTAGAATAAATTAAATTCATGAACTGACGTACCACTATATTTTGCATTTAGGTTTATTACCCTATATGTAACAATTTAGATCTCATTCTTCTTACCTAGTTTTGGTCATCAACTCTTTCATACAATTAGCTCCCTACTATTTTTAATTTTTTTATTGGCTGTAGTAAATCATTCAGGAAAATTTGCAGGGAAGTTTCTTGGTCAAAATACTTTTTAAACTCCTTAGTATCTGAGAATGTCTTCCAGTTGCCTTCATACACAAATACTGGCTTAGCAAGGTATATAAGTCTAGGTTCAAACTTATTTTCCCTTAAAACTGTGTAGATGTTGATCCATTGTCTTTTGAGATTTAGAATTGCAAGAAAAAAATCTGAGGTCAGTCTTACTTTTGCCCCTTTATTGATAACATTCTTTGTCTGGATGCTTGCAAAATTTTTTCTTTATCCTTGAAATTTTAAAAAGTAAATATGATATGTCCAGTTGATAATTTCTTCTCATAATATTGTAAAGGTACCCTGTAAGCCTTCTTTGTGTGTAGGCATACTTTGTTCTTCATCTCTGGAAAATTTTCTTCAATTATTTCCTTAATTATTGTTTTGGCTTCATCTGCTTTGTCCTATGTTTCAGGTATCCCTACAATGAGCAGGTTGAAGCTCCTGAACAGGCCCTCTACATCTCTTTTTCCCCTCTTTTCTTATCTTAATTTCTTTGGCCTTTTCCTCTTAATTCTGTAAGAATCTCTCTTGTGTGCATTAACTTCTGAAATTTTATTTTGTGACCTAGTCTGCTAATAGTGCTTCCTCTAAATGGACGGCCATGATCTCTTCCATGTGATCACACACTACCAGCTCTATAATTAAGCCCACATGAGTAATGAATTCTGTTATAAGACATTCAATACTTTCTAGATCATCATTATAGAGCAGCATATCAGTATCAAAAGGCAACATTTTCTCAATTACTTTGTTCTATTCCTTTCTTCTGAACATCTTATGATCTTTGCAACAGCTTTTCTCAGTGAGATTCAAGAATGTGATCTTCCCAAGCACCAAAGTTGAAGAATCCATGCTTAAAAGCTTAAAGAGCACCATCTATTCAAGAGGCTTCTAGTTCCAAATGGTACTGATAAGGAGCAAGGTATTTGGTGCTTCTATGCTATACAAAGATGTTGAGATTAAAATGGCACAGCAATATTTTCTTTGATCCCAAACTGATCATAAATATATATTATGCATAGTCACTACAGTTACCTTTTATTTCCATCCTCTTTCTTTCTCTATTTTTTAATGTTGCCTTCTTCATTCTCTTTTCACTCCTGAATTTGCTGTATAATTGATGTTTTTTCATCACACCAAAATTCTATTATTATTATTATTATTATTATTATTATTATTATTAGCCCCTGTGTGTACTGGGCTCTGAATAACCCAGAAATATCACCAATAGCTGGCTATCTGTGACAGATAGCAAGGAATATTTTTGTGTTGGCCAGAAAAAAACCCTGAAAAGCTCAGGGCTCATGTCTGGATATTCTGCTAGTTTTATTGGTAGAAAGTATGAGAAGTGGCTCTTGGAATATATTTTTTTATTCAAAAATTATTTTTCAGAGTTCATCATAATCAAGGAGAAAGCTTAAGAAATAATTACTGGTGGGGTTGAATTTTTTGTATCAATTCATGTGGCTCTTTTCCACAAGAATCATTGTTTTAAATTTATTTTTCAAGGATGATAAACAATAGCTTTTTTCCATAATTTAAAAAAAATATTGATTCTATCCTAAGCTCTTTGCAATCAATCCACCTTGTTTTATTTCCAAAGAAGAAGAAAGAGTACAATGTAATGGGCTTATGATTAATAATAGATCTGATAAGGAAATGGCCAGGTGAACTTTAAAATACATGAGAACTTTTTTAGTCTTGGTAAGTCTTGGCACAGCTCCTTAAATAAACCAGCTGTAACACAGGTTGATGTAATAGGCCAGTGACAAAGTAGAATTCCCCACAGAACTCTCTGGTGTGCTTTTAGGTGAGCCCTGTATACATCTGGACCATAGACATAATCTTTGCTATAAAGCAATACAAATGTTTTCTAAAGATTAAAAACCTACTTTTAGATGGAATACTAACCAAATGAGGCTGACAAAATGAAAAAATAAGAGAAGTAGCTGAAAAATGATTTTAATACCATCTCTGATTTATGAAAAGCTAAGAGATAAATGACAATGAGTGGACATGTGTGCTTTGAAGGGAAAGGCACTAAGTACAGACAAGCTACAGGGGAAGTGTTGGATTACATTATGACAAACTGCCAAAAAGATATCACAAGAAACATGGCCAAAGTTGTCCTAGATACTCCTTTCCTTATTTTAAAAAAAGAAAAACTTTTATGAATGAAGCACATTTATTCTTGTTGGAAAGCAGAAAGGAAAACCAGCTAGTCCTTTAAGCTTCTTGTGATACTATAGCCCTTTCCACCATGGACTCTCCAAGTTAATAGGGAGCCTTGGAGATGGCCAGTTTCAGAAATGAGGTCCCCAGTACCAGTGATTGGCCAAGGTCAACTGGCCAGTACTGAAGTTGAAACAGCAACACAGTCTGTCAACTTCTAGTCTGTGGTTATTTTTCCCCACTACAAAATCTAAACTAAACTAAACTAACCTCTTGGATCTATTTACACCAAATACATAGAAAGCTAAATCTTACTGCCTTTGCCAATATCAGTCTCACAATGGTTGAGTAGCATTTCCTTTAGATTCATGCCTTCTGGATATGGTTTGCTCTGCAGAAACCAGTTACTGGGACCCATCTAAATGCCTAGTCAAATTAAAACTTAGAGATGAAGAACTTTAATTTCAAAGCCATCCTATCCCAAGCCAACAGTTCCATATGACTTGGCTTCTAGCGGTGTTGCCAAATCTGGCTTTTGACCAATTGTCTTCCTGTTTACCTCTACAGGTTTTACAGCGGCAGCCTCCCTTGTGTCCTTGGCTTGGGCCCTGGCCTCTTACCAGAAGGCCCTGAGGGACTCTCGAGATGACAAGAAGCCCATCAGCTACATGGCTGTCATCATCCAGTTCTGTTGGCATTTCTTCACCATTGCTGCCAGAGTCATCACCTTCGCGCTCTTTGCTTCAGTTTTCCAGCTGTACTTTGGGATCTTCATTGTTCTCCACTGGTGCATCATGACCTTCTGGATTGTCCACTGTGAGACAGAATTCTGTATCACCAAATGGGAAGAGATTGTGTTCGACATGGTGGTGGGGATCATCTACATCTTCAGTTGGTTCAATGTCAAGGAAGGCAGGACACGCTGCAGGCTGTTCATTTACTATTTTGTGATCCTTTTAGAAAACACAGCCTTGAGTGCACTCTGGTACCTCTACAAGGCACCCCAGATAGCAGATGCATTTGCCATCCCAGCACTCTGCGTGGTATTCAGCAGCTTTCTAACTGGTGTTGTTTTTATGCTGATGTATTATGCCTTTTTTCACCCCAATGGGCCCAGATTTGGGCAGTCACCAAGTTGTGCTTGTGAGGACCCCGTCGCTGCCTTCTCTCTGCCTCCAGAAGTGGCCACAAGCACCCTCCGGTCCATCTCCAACAACCGCAGTGTTGTCAGTGAACGTGATCAGAAATTTGCAGAGCGAGATGGATGTGTACCTGTCTTTCAGGTGAGGCCCACCGCCCCAACCACCCCATCACCTCGTCCACTACGGATTGAAGAATCTGTCATTAAGATTGACCTATTCAGGAATAGGTACCCAGCCTGGGAGAGACATGTATTGGACCGAAGCCTACGAAAGGCCATTTTAGCCTTTGAATGTTCCCCATCTCCTCCAAGGCTGCAGTACAAAGATGATGCCCTTATTCAGGAGCGGTTGGAATATGAAACCACTTTATAAAATGAAAGAACATGCAGGAGCCACAACATTCAGTTGAAAGGGTGACAGCGGGGCTGTGGCAATAATAACACTTCATCCTAAGTAGGGCAATGAGCTATAGTGTTCTTAGTCTGACCATCATCGTTACTGTGGATTGATCTTCTGTCAGAGGACTGCCTGCTGCCGGGCTCCTTTGAAATCATCAATGCTGAGAGCCTCTTACTCCACCTGAAGGAGCCAACACCAGTTTTGTATGACTGTTGCTACCAAACTCTTCCTGCAGTCTGGGAGCCCATCCACCAGAGGGTACTATTATTATGGAAAATGTTGTCTCCAATCAATAGGGTATTTTGATGGAGTTTACTGATTTTTGCATAAAGATATTCAGACACACACACACACATTAGTCCTCCACTAAAATAGCTTGGGTGATTTTTCTTGACTCAAATCCCTGATTACCACAGGAATATAAGAACAAAAAGAGAGAAAATATATCCCCCAGGACTCCAGGAAAAAAATAATACAGCTTAGAAAAGAATTCATAAACCATTTTTCATTTGGAAATCAATACCATGTGTGAAAAAGTTTATCCAGTGGACAGCAAACTCAAGTGTGTTTACACATGTATTAGCATTGATGGAATGGCTCATTTTCTATACACTTCTGGATTTATTAGTTTTAATTTTCAGTTGAGAATATCTTTTATGACAGAAATCCTTTGCTGCACATGTATGGCTTTCAAGACCAAGGAGCTCGATAACTTTGTGATATAAATTAAATGATAATTATGATTCAGTTATTCCATTACAAAAATTTAAAACATACACAAAGAGGAGTAGAGGGAGGCAAAAGGAGAATCTGATTCCCAGGTATGCGCACTGGAATGCAAGGGAGAGGAGCAGGCTGTAACTGGCTGTTTCTGATGCAGAGTGAGTGGCTCACTCTGTGTACATGTGGGCAAGTGTGATTCTGGAAGACACCATGCCACATCTTTTTAGTGCCAAACTCCATCCAACCATAGGACTGACATGGAAGCCCCAACAACTGAGAGTATGTGGCATGAGCCCCTCAAAAGCAGACATGAGGATGAACAATCAAGTTCTCCACTGTGTACAGACTTACCCATCCCCAATCCAAAGTCAAAGTTATGTGTGTTTAGAGGCTTTGGGACACTTTAGTAAGTATGAGCATACAAATGCAGTGAATATGCTGTGAGGAAACCCTTTGAACTGCTTGAGGGCTTATCACTATATCCAACTAAGATTTATATTTGAATCATCTGTAAAGTCTTACTCTTACAATAAGCTTCTGGTTTTAAATACCTCTGTCCAGCAAGTAAACATTCTCCGCTTTCTGTTCTCAGTGTCCTTGGTCATGGTGCTTTTTGTTGCATTAAAAGTGCTGGTCAAACTTTGATAGTATTTTTTTATAGTTGGTGCAGAGTGGAATAACTCATGGATTATTTCAATATTTTTGTAATAAAATATATAGGGTATGCATATAGGCATTATCACCTTTTTTATAGACCTGGAATTATTTAAAATACTTTAAGCATCAAAATTACTTGGGATGTCAGAAACTGGTCCACAAATCCATCAGCCTGCCTCAGCAGAATGAAAATACTTGTCTCTTGCAAGATCACCCTACCTTGCAAGTTGGTGCCCCCAGGAACCTGGCCAGGGGTGCTATCAGAATATCAAGTGAAGAGAGAAGCAGCCTGAATAGAAAGGGCTTGTCAAGACTGGCCAATGTTTTCCAGGAAATCAAAGATGTAAATGATTGATTTCATCCATCAATTGTAACAAACCTGACCACAGTGGAAGGTGTCTTAAATTTCCTTCCCTGGTTTTATATTAACCAAACTGATACATTAAAGATTAGTCAAATCACTTTAAAGAAAGGAAGGGGTCAGTTTAACTTAATTATTCACTTATCTGGGTTGTCCAAGTCACTATAAATAGTCAAGTTCTAGGGCCACTACCTGTAATGTGTGTGTCATCCAGAGACTGCCATCCCCATGATGACATCCACCGAAAATGACAGAGGGCTCAATCTAGGACTTCTTTTGGTACAAAGCCCCAGAACAATTTTTAAAAGATAGACAATTTTTATCAGTAGACATATTTCCTAATACTCCATGATTTGATCCTCCAAGCAAGAATTCCACTAAAAAAGATTAATCATTTGGTGGGATATGGAAAGATTACCTAGTCACCAGTAAAGCTCCAAGAGGACACTCTTCTTGTCAGCATATTGTGCAACATTCCACCCCCATTGTGGAAGGAAAAAATGATCATTTTTGACAAAGTCTTCACTTCTGTGCAGAACCATGTTATTAGCTTCATTAGTTCCAAGACAACTTTTAACTAATCTTTGGAAATTGAATTTCTCAGTTGAACTAAACCTATGAAACCATGAGTAAATAACAGATTACAGTACAATGATGTCAAGCAACACAAGTACACCAGTCCCCTTCGCTCTCCAATCATGTAAGTTCTCAATTATTTCTCAGCTTGATTCCTCATATAACATGTTAAGAATTGAACAAGTACCATGTAATAAATGATAATATATTGTCCTTTGTCTTAGAGGTTAGATTGGCTGTAAGGAGGACGTAAAAAGTTTGAATATTTCATTGATTTCCTAAATACTGTGAATAGTCTATTATCTGACATACTTGAAGATTATGGTGTTTTAGATAGTAATAAATTCTTAAAGAAATTACATATCTATCATGTTATAAACTATAAGTTTTCAGATGATTGCAGAAAAAAAAAGAAGAGGTCAGTCATGATTTAATCTTGTTTCCATGATTCAGATAGCACAACACTGCCAACTCTTATGGTTTTGACAAGATTTATTAGTTTCTAGAGGCACAGGGAATAGAGAGTTAAAGTATAATGATTTCATCAGTGTACAAAAGAACAAAGTTTGATTTTTGTATTTATATTTTAATTCTTCCTAAAATTTCATTTTGAATCTGACATTAAATCCTCCACAGAAAGTAACCAGAGTCCAAAAGGAATGAACCACTGTTAGCATACAAGTGGAAAAGAGGGATTCTTTATCCTGGACTCAGACTTTTGAGCCTGAGTCCACTTTGTTTCTATTAAGAAGGTGTTTAGTCTTAACGTTCATTTTTTCCATAGGAGCATAACAGTTACTAAAAGGATATTATAATTTTTTAATTTTTAAACTACAATTTCTGAATGACTGTATTTCTAAAATGTGTGTAATATGTATTTTTAAAATGTGTCTAATATGTATCTTAACTACTGAGACTTTAAGTATTTGTGTGGAAGGAAAAAAATCAAAACTTGGTCCCAAAGTGACTATGTCCTTTAAATTTTCTTTGCACATTTACATTGTCCTATTTATTGTTTAGCTCAGTAACACTGACTGTGCAGACACTTATTTACTATTTATTTATATTGAGTGCTGTTAACCCAACAAAAGAAATTAATTCTTACCAACAGGTCAAGATTATCTAATTCAAGTGCTAACAGAAGATAAAAGTAAAATAAATATAGTTAGTTCCTAAGTGCCCAATTTATTTTGCTCCATAAATAAATGAAGTAAGAGTGTTGACCAATTAAAAATAAACAGGAATAATTGAAATCTCAATGGCTATTTTAAAAAATCATATATAGGTGTGTTACTAAAATAACAGAGATTAAAGGAGAAAGTGTATACCACCCTTCACCAAAATAAAGTGGTATATTACTGACACATGAACTTTTAGATAAAAATGTTCTTCCTATTCCTTTTCCAAAATCAACCATGTGTATAGTCCATGCCTATAAGACATCAATTCATTTATGAATTTTAATTAGAAATATCTACATATAATTCAGCACCTCTTAGCTTGAATGAATTTTCTCACTCCTTAAGGATCTCATCTTTTGAGCAGTTTTGCATCATTTCAAAGTTTTTCTCCCTGAAGAAGTTGAATTGAGCAAGGAAAAACTCTGATGTCCTTATCAGAATTGTATAAAGTTACATATTCACTTTTAAATCTAATCAATGCCACCGAGTGGAAACAAGTTCTGATATAATGTTTGTTTGGTTGGTTTTTTTTTTTTTTTGGTACCGGGGATTGAACTTGGGTCCTTGCACTTGTGCAGCAGGCAGCGAAACCACTGAGCTAAATCCCTGGCGCAACACAATGTTTAGACAAGAATCCAAGAGAAGTTTTTTCTAAGGAACCATTGTCCACTAAATATATGCTCCCTTGCCTTCTTAATACATCTTTGCCACTAGCCATTACTACTTCTATATAAAGCTTGGATGACATGCCTGTATTTTCATGATTCTAAGGAGAATTCCTTAAAGTTTTTTAAAAAGTACCTCACACCATCTTTTAAAGTCTAGATCCGAGGATGGCCAAAGTGCAGGATGACAGCGCAGCAGGACTGAGTTGGTCATTTGTATAATTTCAGTGATGGATGCAGATCAACTCATGTTCTTTTATCTCAGCAATCCAATGTCACTTTTGAAAACAGTCAAATCATCTGCCAGCTTGCAACTCATAACACTCCTCCCACCCGATGCTTGAGCATTTCAAGATGGCTAAGAATAGGTTGTCTCTCTCTAGCCCCCATTTCTGAGTCTTTCATCCTGACCCCTGTGAAATGGCTGTGAAATGATCTGAATATTTGGATGGTAGCTCCTATCTCACTTGGGCACAAGTAGGCTCTCTGTTGACATATGTCTTCTCCATTTTCTGTCCTGGAAATGGGCACATGGAAAGAGTCTCAGTATATGCCCATGAATCCATGGGATTCATGCTAAGCAAAACTGCAGAAAGTGGGTGGAATTGTATAAAAACATAACGAGCCATTTAATTTTACTAATTGTAGCAATTAGGCTAGCTCACAAGCTGCCTCTTCATGAAACAGAAAGCCAAATGGAAGAAGTGGCAACCAGCCATGTGTTCACAGAAATAAGGGGTTTAGAAAGTCCCTGGAGTAGATGAAGTGGTTTTTGGTTTCATTATCCACCTGAAACTTTTTCTTTAGATTACATAAGGGAAAAACCATCAGACTTTTGTCGTAGTGAAGGCAGTGATTTAGCCTAGAAAGACAAAACTTAGCACCCTAGTGCCATATGTTCTACTAAATGACTGATAGCTGAATGTCCCTGACATGTCATTTTGCTTGTTATGGCTTATGTTTAGATGTCCCTCAAAACCTCAAGCCATTGAGGTGGGGCTATTTCAGAGAGCACTAGGATTAAGGGTGTGAGTGCTACCCACCATTCAGTAGTCTGAATAAGATAAAAGGGGCCAGAACATGCTGTTAAGGTCTCTTGTTGCTTTTGCTACCCTGTGGCCTCCCTGAAGTGTTTCTCCTCTGCTACACCTCCGTGCCATGTGTCACCCTGCCTTGGAGCCAGCTGATTATAGACTGAAACCTCTACAAACAGTAAGGCAAATAAACCTTTCTCTCTTTAACTTTGGGTGTTGGGTATTTTGTCTTAGCAATGAGAGAAAAGTAACTAACACAGAATTTTCTACCAGAGAAGTTGGGTCAATGCTGTGACTGTACCTGACCATGTAGGTTAGGAGCCTTGGGAGCTGGATTGTGGGAAGAAGAGTTTGCAAAGATCCAGAGATGCAGGCTGAAAAAGCAGAGCTGGAACACTTAGACTGCATTGGATAGGAGACTGTTCAGAGCTCAGAAGACCAGAAAGCTGGTAAAGACCAAGCTCAGGAAGTTTCTGCTGAGAAGAATCCAGATGATATGTGTTACGCCTTGGCGGAAAGTTTGTCTGCATTTTGCTCATGTCCAGACATTTTGCCTGAGAGTGAGATTAAAGACAGTGCACTAATTAATCGTTTTTTCCCCAAAGATAATTCTTTTTTGAAAAATAAATTGTATTTTATTTTGTCCTTTCTCCCCTCCCCTCCCTATATACAAAAGCTTGGTTTCCATTCTTCCATTTTCACTTTTTTCTTGTTCCTTTCTTCCTTTCTCCTTCCCTCCTCCCTTCCCATGTGAACACTTTCTTCCCATTTCCCAATATCATTATACATCTCAGTCCTTATCTCCATATTCAGTTTCTCACACCAGAGAAACAATGAAGTACTTAAACCTGTGTTGAACTAATTAATCTTGCAGAAGAAATTTCAAGTCAGTTTAATGTTGAGACCATGGCATGACAACTGTTGAGGGCTTTTAGCCAGATTTATGTTGAGAATCAAGAGCAAAGAGCCCAACAGAATGATTTAAAGCGTTTTGAGCTTGACCATAAAGGAAGCTCCAGAAAAGCTGAGGACTGCAAAGATAGAGCAGAAGAGATCTTGATTGCTGAAAAGAAAAAAGACAATAGAAAAGATGGCTTGAGGGCATCACAAGAAGCAGCAGGACTCCACCCTTTGCAGCCTCAAAATTGCAAAATTGAAAGCAAACTTTGCTTTGAGAAGAAATCCCCAGAGCACCATGTTCCAGAATGGTGGTGGCCTAGGGAAATTGTTCCTCAGGATTTGGTGCACAAGCACTGGACCCCTACGACAAAGACAGAAGGAATCCTAGGCCTGGGGATTTAGCTCAGTGGTTCCGCTGCCTGCCTCACAAGCACAAGGACCAGAGTTCGATCCCTGGTACCAAAAAACAAAACAACAACAAAAAGAAGGAAGCCTAGCTACTATTCCAGCAGGCAGCAGACCTTGGTATCATCCACGTGGCACTGGTTTAGGTGCATGCATGAATGCTAGAGTTTTGGGGTCAGCAAGGCTTCCTTCCACTTAGAATTCAGAAGAAGGCCTGGGAGGCCAGGTAGTATGCACCTGAGAGGGCAGTGTGTGAAGCAGTGAGTGTGAAGCTAAAAGTGCAGTGGAGACCCCAGAAGTTTGGAGAAGCCAGGAGCATGGATCATCTGAGTAAAGCTGCAAGGAGGGAACAGAAACAGCCCAAGAGAGAAACTGTGGGAGCTACAACCATCTGTAGTCCCATAGCACTGGAGCCAGCCAAGCAACCCCTTTGAAGTTCACAGCTTGCCACGGATTTCCAGGGGTGCTGGAAGTGCAACTGTGGGATTTAATGTTTGCCCTGCTGTATTCTGGACTTGCTTTGGTCCCATTCCTTTGTATCCCTCTCTTTGTACCTTTTGAAATGGTGATGTCTATCTTGTGCCATTGAATGTTGGAAGTGTTTCATTTTCTTTTCATTTGTACAGGGGAATGCAGCTAAGAGTTTGCCTTAAATCTCAGAGAAGACATTGGACTTGAACTTTCAGCAATGTTGAAACTGGTAGGACTTTGGCAACTTTTAGAGATGAACTAAATGCCTTTTGCATAAAGAGATATGCTTGAGTCTTTGGAGGGCCATGGGTGGAATGTTATGTCTTGTTTTTAGATGTCCACCCAAAGCCTCAAGCCATTGAGGTGGGACTATTTCAGAGAGCACTAGGATTAAGGGTGTCAGTGCTACCCACCCTAAGACATCTGAATAAGATAAAAGGGGCCAGAAGATGTTGTTAAGGTCTCTTGTTGCTTTTGCTACCTTGTGGTCTCCATGAACTATTTCTCTTCTGTGATGTGCCTCTGCCAAGTGTCACCCTGCCTTGGAGCCAGCTGATTATGAACTGAAACCTCTATGAATTGTAGACCAAATAAACCTTTCCCTCTAACTTTGGGTATTAGGTATTTTGTCTCAACAATGAGAGAAAAGTAGGTAATATATTGCTAAAATGTTTTCATATTATGCTTCCATAGTCTAAGTCAGAAACAAATTAAATTGAACTTTTGTTTTGTTTATTTTCTTTTCCCTCAGATTTTCCCAAATTGATACCATAGTTGGGCACTTATTATGTGCCTTGTGCTGTGCTAAAGATCTTTGTTGCTGTGATCTCATTTAGTCCTCACAGCTGTCTATGGGTTAAGTATCATTTCCCAATGATGCAACTTCAGCTCAGAGATATTAAGCAACTTGTCAAAAGCTCCACAGGTAAGGAAAAGTGGAGCTGAAGGCTGAACTCAACTTTTAACAACTGAAAGACCTCCCAGAAGATTAATGCATATTCCCCCAGTATCTCTCCTGATTTGGCAAGTCTTAAGGAGAAATAGATTTAGATGATCAGGGTTTTCCAGGAAAAGTTCATTTTAAAGTCAAAGATGTCTTTCAGAATGAAAAGTTAAAAGTAAACAACAACAACAACAACAACAACAGAATAGAATCCTATCACCTGAAACTCTAATTCATAGGAGACAGATCAATGCAGTTCCTCTATTCCAAATAACAGTCCCTGCATTGCCTTTCTCTGCATTAAATTAAGTGATGAATATAAATTGACTTTACTTTTCTTGTATTCTGTACATTCATGTACATGTATGATGGTGTCATCTAATTAGGCAGACTGAAAAATAAATTTTGCCACTTTGACATGCTGATAAGAGACAGAGAGAAAAGAAGAAAAAAGAAGGAAAGGAGGAAAGAAGGAAGGGAGGAAAGAAGGAAGGAAAGGAGGGAGAGAGGAGGGGAAGGAAGAAAGCCATAGAACTAACAAGTCTTTGCAATGACATTATTTTAGTGTTCTAAGGTAATTCTGTTTTATTGCTATCATTTCCCTAAATTTTGTTTACTATCTTATACTTCAAAAATTTAGCATTTAAGTGGATTATTAAACCACTAGTTCAAACCATCAATTAAGTCTGGGACTCTTATCTTAGACTGATGACTTAGATGCAAAGAATAAAGCATTTATCAAGTATTTGTTGACTTGAATGATAAAATAATTGATATATTCTTTCCCTTTTCACTTGAAATGTAGTATATATGAAGGCTGATAAACTGGCAGTGTAACCTAGTCAATTTTGTCATTGTGTATGAAGCTATGTGTGTTGCTTGAACTGATGCTAAAAAGGTAGCCAATAATAAACCAAAAACGTTCTCAGCCCTGGTGTTTATTTTTCTTTAAATCTTTAGTGACTGATCTGATATAATGTATTAAATAAAATACATGCAATCATCTATTTTAATTTAAGCAGATCTTTAGAAGCACATGTTAAATTCGAAGTCACTGATTTTGTATAGAATGTAGCATCTAAATGAAATCCAAATGTTATTTCATCACCATCATGAGACTCAAAGAGATTGGGTAACTTTTATAATCAGTTTTTCACATTAAACATTTATTGATTCTTCTGCCATTCACTCTACAAGCATGACCTCTAGGACTAGGACTGCTAAGCAGTACATAACCAAGTGCAAAAGGACTTCTGCATTTCAGTAGCTCACAGATTAGTGATTAGAGTTTTTTGGTGATTAGAGATCACAGCTTGCTGAATCAGAGTTTTCTGATTTCAATTCTGTCTCTTTTCTGCTCTAGCAAACTACTACTCTTTCCAGTATCTATATTAATTTTATATTAAAACAACAACCATAAGCTTTTCCAAGACTCTCCTGTAAGGCTCACAATAAACAATTACCCTTAATGACAAGAATAAGATAATGAAGGAAATGCAAAGATAAATCAACATTAGCTAACTCATTAAACAGAAAATCTTAGGACTTGTCCTTATGACTCACCAGTATTAAGTATTTCTGAATTGAAGTAACAAAGCAAAAAAATTGAACTATTGATTGCCTACATATTATCTGACATAAAACTATGACCACAAAAATAATTGAAGACAGTCTTGAGACCTTTTTTTAAGAAAAGATGTGAAATTAGGCAGCTTCCTAATCATCAAGAGTTTTGCACTGGGCTACTTTTAGGAAAGCAGCCTTATAAGCACATACTAGTTGTTTCAGGATAACAAATTCCCAGAAGAATCTCAGCTACAGTCACTTGGGAGTTGGTTCTAAAGTCAGACTTCCCAAGCTCAGAATGGCAGCACTCTCCTGCCTTCCCTTTCAGGAAGTAGCCAACCCTGGGCACTGGTGGGCACTCATGTTAACATGGAGCCCAATTCAATTCTCCTCCCATGAGGCCCAGAGTAGTTGTCTTCCCACAGACATAAGGAGTACATTATTAAAGGTCACTCTTAGCTTAATTTTCCTTGAATGAAATTCAGGCTACTATTTGTTCTTCCCCAAATAAAAATGAAAGAAAGGAGAAAGCATATTAATTTTTTTTGAAAGCATATTAATTTTGACAAACATACAATAACTGAAAAGATTTATGGTGAATTTCATTAAGCATTACCAAAAGAATTAATATAACAATGCTGCTATGCCCAGACCACGATTCCTAGGTTCAAGTCACCATTACTACTTTTATCACCACAGTTGTCACTGATTCACTGCAGGGCACAAGAGGAACCTTGTAGCTACTGATAAGATAATTTACAAACCAAAGAGCATGTTTAATATCAAATCAACATTAAATTAAATTAATCAATCAAAATAATAAGCAAATATTACAACACAAAATTTTCTCTTGTGCTATTATTGACGCCTAGCACCTACTCTGTTATTAGAACTTCAGAATATGTAAGGTTTTGTGTTTTCTTTTATACTTTTACATCTATCTACCAAATTAAGCAGGTTGGACCTTTCCTTTTTCTACTGTTTAATTTGTATTACAATGAAATTAATCAAATTCTTCAAGTGTTGCAAGTATGAACAAATGAAGTTGTGTTTAAACTAATTTAATTTAACCCTTGTAGTGGTATTCTGACATGCGCTTGTATCCAATCAACACTTTTAATTATTTCAAATTAATTTGTTTATCAGTAAATGCTAAAATACCCCTAAGTGTGTTGAAAATATATTTCAGATTTTTATCACTGTAAGAAATTCCTATTTTGATTACAAACCAGTAGAACATGTCTTAATACACACCAGTATTTTAATCCATTGTGATTCTGGAAAATAAGCACTTGTATTTGAGTGTGTTGGGCACTGCTGCACTCACACAGCAATTAAACTTTGACCTGTGGTTTTCTATAGAGCCCCTGTGGTTTCTTTTTCTATTCAAATTGGGAGAAATAGCACACCATCTTATAACTGAGTGAGGCTCATGAGTTGGTGAAAGAATTATAATTTTATAAGCCTGCTTTCAAAAAACTAAACTATTCAATTTCCCTTATTAATCTATGTACCCTATTGTGCATAAAAAGGAAATGGATTTCCAAATTTTTTTTCTTTTTTTGGTACCGGGGATTGAACTCACCCCTGCACTTGCAAGGCAGGCAGCAGCACTAAAAGTATGCTTTGGAAGCCTGGGTTGAAGCATTTTCTTTGGTCTGAATCAAAGACATGATACTCTGTCAGAAAAAATCTTTCTCTTGCCTTAAGAAAGGGGAAGTGTGGTAGTGAGCCAGTCATACTCAGAAATAGCCTTGACTGTCACAGAGCTGCATATTGCTGATGCTATTGATTCCTTTCTTTTTTTTACAGAAGCATCTTGGAACTTGTCAAGTTTTACTGGAGGTGATTTGCAGTTAATTAATTCAACAGACACTTTTAATCTTGCAAATTTTTGACTTGTAATATTGTAATCAAGCTACTGCAAAGGAACATTAATCAGTTAGTGGAAAGGAGCACTTGGTTCAGCATCCTGCCATGATGGGCCCAGGCCTGAAAAGAAAGACCTCTATGAAGGAGAGATGAGGGAATATGTGCTACCTGGTTCCTCAACACTGATGCTATGAATATTCATCCATTTCCTTTGTTTCTGCCAGCAAGAACTGCTTTGAAGAAAAGTCAATGGATTCCTGGGGCTTTTGTAGCTCAGAGTGGGTATGGGTTATGGAGACTTGTTTCAAACTGATTCAAATCTACATGTTGGAAATTTAAAAATGTCATTGTTATCTGTTTAATAATTAATATTTCTGAATCTAGTTGCTGCTTTTACTTGATTTCAAGAGACTTCCATTGCCAGCATTGTAATAGCCTATTTTTGAAGCTTGAATTACAATTCAGCTTCAGAGGTCAATTCTGAATGGCTCCAGCTATTGAATAATTTGATGTCTGCCTTCCTAAGTAGTAACATTTCCAGTTACATTTCTATCTGGAATCCACTCTCCTGTTGTTGCTTCTCAGAACCCACAAAACCTCGGTTATGAACTTAAAGATCACCAATCTAATATGCAAAAGCCTACATTTTCACTTAGAAGTAAACAGATGGTCTTGTAATTAAAAATCATCGTTCTTCTCCACTTCTCTTTTTAAAAGAAAGATAAGAATGAAGTAGTCAGAGTCATTAGAGTCAAAAGAGTCCGGCACCCATGTGTCCTTACAAAGTGTTCTGTCTTATCTTTTGGTATCAGTTTTAGGAATTAGCCCTAGATAAATGAAGGGACGTCATCAGATGTATACAATATGCAGTCTTGAAGAAAAAAAATAAGAGGAAGCAGTGGGGATCATTCTTCTTGTGCTCAAAGATGTTTCTCTTCCCTAAACTATCATTTTAATGTTCCAAAAGGTACTGAATAATACTCCCAGTTATCAGAGCTAGTATCATGGCAAAGTCATTTTTCCGAAGCACTAACATTGAATGGCAAAAAAGTGGCCTACTACCATATAACTTCTTTTCACTTGCCAGGCAATGAAAATCAGAAAGTTGAAGAAAATGTTCATTTCCTGAACCCAAGCTAATATAATCCACAAAGATACTCTGTAACATACAATGAGTTGGTTGACTATGGAGACAAAAGAGCAATAAATAGGTCTCTTCAATAAGACTCCTGGGTGAGAGTGACTACAGCAGTGTTGGGTGCTGAGAGATGGGGTTTCTATTAATGTGGAGCTCTGAGTATGGTGATCAAAAAGAAAATCTGTAGTTGCTCTTCAGAAATTGTTGCCTTTTTGTAGAGCAGAAATTAGCAGTAGTCATTGTCATTCCATAATTATGACAACAAATGTTTCTCCTAATGAAATCAAGGCCTGACTACAGTGGTAAACTAGAGGGGAAGTTGGTAGCTTTGTTTCTAAGGTTAATTCTCTCCTTAAAGAAACCTTCCCTTCTGATGGTTCTTCTCAGTCATTGACCCCTATGCTGCTCTGAACACCAAGATCTTCTGATGGATAATGAGAGGTATTTTAGAGTTTTTTTAAAAATTAAATTCTTTATTGGTACATTGTAGGTATACAGCACAATTACATTCATCAGTGGGAATTGTACCTTTACATAATGCATCTTGGTTCTTGTTTTTTCCCCATTCCTAGCCCTCCCTTCACCCCCTCCACCCTTCCCTATTTACAAAGACTTGAGATATTTTAGGTTTAATAAGTCATTCCTGCTTATCTAACATGAACCATTTAAGTACCGCTCTTTTAATAGCAATGAGATTCAGGGTTACCTAAGCCTTACTCATTGTCCCATCTATATATATCATGATATCACTGGAGCCCCTGTGTCCATTCTCACTCAATCAGGTTTACCAGTATTAGACTCTTTTAAATATAGTCTGGATTTTGATCCTAAATATAGTCTGGATTTTGGCTAGTCTGCATATCCATTCCCAAATTGGAAAAATAATTCTTTTGAGAGTAATTTTCCGAATAATGGAAGTGGAATAAAAGGACAGTTAAAACAATTTTTCAGCGTAAACAAAACCACTGGACCATTGATAGCCCTGGAACTCTGCTTTTTCCTCATGACTGTTTCTTTTCATTTGAGGGCTTTCAACATTTGAATTTTCCAGATGATTTAGTGAACCATCTTCACTAAACCAAAGTAGACACTATGAAGTTATTAAACATAAAGACTGTCTACATGAATGCAAATATCCCAATGAAAAGTGAAGAAGTCGATCACTCAAGTGGTAAATTTCATCCTCGTGATAGCAAACATTTGGATACTTTATAGAAAACTCTTGATGTTTGAAGAATACAATTTTCTGTCTGATTGTCTGATGTTGTCTAGATGTACAAGGCAGTGGAATTGAACTTCTTTGTGCTGTAATCAATTACTGGTGATTTTCTGCTGCTAATAATCTCTTTGTTGTGCAAAGAGAAATAATGCAGAGTAAATGCTATTTGATTTTTCTTTACTTTCAGCAAATGCATGAATGGGAAATGTTTGGGAGGCTCATTGCTAGGTCTAGCAAGGACTGCAGTGCTGTCCTCCTTTGGAGCAGGAGTTCTAGAAGCTCTTTCCAGGGAAGGGACCTTCTTGTTCACCCTTTGCTGTCTTTTATAATTTTATCATTGCTCTTCTGTTCTTCATAAATCTTAATTCACAGAGTCTACTTGACAAAATGGTTTAAGGGAAATACAAATTTCTTAACGTATTCTTCAAATGGAAGTTATGTTTGTAAGCATTCTATTTTGTAAGCTAAAAATAATTTAAACTGTGTGACTCAGTTATTTCATAGTAAATTTATGGTATCAAGAAAAGGCTACTTTTCCAAAATCAAACAAAAAACATAACTGTAGGGGTTTAATTTGTTGATCTCATTGCAATTGCCAAGTATTAACTGGTTATCATAACATTAGGGAATTTATATTTTCCTTGTAGTCATTATTATAATTCCAGAAAAAGAAAAAGAAAAAGTTGACATCAAAGGGAAAGTCAGTGCCCAGAAGGAAAATCTGAGATGCTCATCCCAGCTCTTGCACCAGTCATTATTTGTTGACATGTCTAACTTATAACATTAGAAACATTAGAAAGTTGATCTTGTTTCTTCTGATTTTTTCCTGGGTTGGTGAGCATGTTTATTTCCTCAAATCATGTGCTTACTTCATTTACTGATCTGAAGCTTGGCAGAACAACAGACAAAGTATTCAGATCAATTTTTTGCCCAGAGAATTTATGCAGTAGAACTTGCTGTGAGGCATTAACTATATACAGGTACACAGAGCACTGAAAGGTACTCATCTATGCAAAGATCTTGAGAGGGTTTCTAAAGATAATCTGAACATTTTGAAGCTTCTTGGGTAGCATTTTGATTGTGTCAAATTGTATATCCAATGCTAAGTCAGAAGGGGTAGGAAATGAAGTTCATTGTTGGGTCCCTCCTTCCCTCAGCTGCAGAAGTTTTCCTCAAATGAGTCAGTCCTTTACCTGGGAAGCAAAGGCCTCAGCCAGTTGGTGTTATCACCCTGTGCTAACTGCTCTGCAACCCCACTTTGGAGGGCAGACTGTGCTTGATACTCAGTTACCTGTGAAATCCTCCAGAACCAGCAGATATGGGTACCAAACTAAATTGTTTTTGCTTTTCTTTTTCCTCATGAGTTTTACTTCACTATATCCTTTTTCTAATCTTTTCACTTTTATGTTCTTGACAGAATATTTAGTTAATTTTACAGCAAAAAGATAATTGGCAACCACAAAAAATTAGCTATTTTAAAATTATCTTTATGTGATCATTGATATGGAATTTATGCTTTAATAGAAAATCAAAAACCCTTATGTTGAATACAATGACTGTTTTAAATGTATTTAAACTTATTCTACAAAATAATATCATCTTATCCTATAGAATATATTCTTTCTTGATGCAAGGACATGAGGGCCTATGCTCCAGTGGTGGAACAAAAGAACTATGAATCTGCACACACCTGAGTCCTAATCCCTGGTCTTCAGCCTCAGAAACTCAGAAACTCACTTCAGCCTCATTTTTCCCGTATAGGAAAGGGAGAGAATATTTATTTACCTACCTCATAGGGGTTTTGTGAAGGTTAATAAGAGTCGGTACTATGCCATGAGGTTAGAAAGCACTGTTATTCTTCCTAACAGGGACACAAAGGAGAACTTTGAGGAGCACAGAAGGTAGGCTAGGCAGAAGGGTGTTAGAGTTGTCTGAGAAACATGACAGCAATAACTAACCAAGCAAAGAACACAATTATTCTGCATCACTTGATATAGGTAAAACTTTCCTTCAAAGTTCTGTGTAGAATTTTTTTTAAATTGTCAACTTTTTACTACATTAACTCCTTTGATAGAGACATTGGAATTCTTATAGATAGACCATTTTCCTCTTTACCAAACTGGATTTTACTAAATGTTTATTTAAATACATCCAGAAAACCTGATTTCTGCTGATGTCTAAGGAGTTTGCATGTGTGGTCCCATGCATTTTCCAGAGCTTCTGCATGATACTCCAGCTCAGAACTAATAATGGCAAGTGTGCCCTGAAATCCATTCTGGGCAGGGGCGGGGAAATGTTTAACAGATTTTACTGAAATTAGATTTTGAGTCCTTTGAGACAATGATCACCCCCTTTAAAGCCCAGTAGAAGAATGTAAAGCTTTGTTTCTGCTTATAACTCCTGAGTTGATTCATTCTCACATTATAAATGTATTTTAAATATTTCAGAGAAGTGTTACACAAGTACTTCAGCAATATATGGATATCCATGTGCTTTTATGTGTGTAGATATGAATTCTACTGGAGGACAAAAGAGATGGCTGAAAACCACCTCAGAGAATATTCTGTACAATTTCCCCAAAGAAATATGTTTTCTCTTATTTAAATAATTAAACCTGATCAGAATGAATCCTAATCACCATGATTTGGAATTATAAATATTTGTAATTTTTGGGTCACAGAGGCACTATTGTGAGGTAGGAATATAACTATGAAACTATACTAACAATGCAGATAATGCTTTAACATGTGACTTCATGAAGTAAAGTTGTTGTACCTAAATATTATCGTTGTACCCTTATTTAATAATTATGCCCTTGTGCAAAACTGTACACCCTTAAAAATATGAAATAGTGTTCAGAAAATTTACCATGAGGAGTGGGTTTTAAATCATGTCATGCTTGGAGCTGACATAATGTTCACAATCAGTCTAATCTCTTCCAGTTTCTAAAATGTTATTCTAAAATCAAAGCCTTATAATTTCAAATAGAACATTTCTAATGCATGATGTTAAGATTTCTGAAGCTTTATTTTAACCTGGGCAATTATCTGATCCATTTAAAAATCTGTACTGCCACAGCATTAAAATAAGTATTATTTTTTATAAACTAGTAATATTAATATAGTAAATCAGAACTAATTTGATATTACTAGCTGCTCCCTTCCCCAGTTTCTACCAGTACCATCAATATTTTTCAAACCAAAAAGTGCAGTAGAATATCCTTTTTGCTATGAAACAAAAAGTTTTTATTTGCTTTTATACAAAAAATAAAGTTAAATCTTTGAACTTGATTCAGGGGCTTGGAATAGAAAGTGGCAGCATTTTGGGTGGGTTTGTTAGGATGAGAGGTGGGCAGAGCAAGGAAAATGTCAGGAAGAGATTTTATCACAAAGAGACAAAACAGAAGTAAAACAAACGTGTTAGAGCCTAAATTCTTCCTCAAACAAATGAAAAACAAGTAGTGACCATGTGTTACTTAGATATAAGCTATACACCTAATTATAGAGAGAAGGTGACTTTAGTCTCTTAGGCTCCCTAGACCATGTGGAACTCTCTAAGGCCCATCCCTGACAATAAGATACTGTTAGAAAAACTGATTTTTAGTAGAGATATATGTAAAGATATAAGTAAGAGATATATGTTGTGGACAGGGTGTTTTGTAAACATCAAACATATGATGATCTATAAAGGTAGTTGTCAAGTTTCTTGGCTACTTTTGACTAACATTCTCTTCCTAAAAAATGATTTAAACACACACACACAGACACAGATGGGGGGGTGAGAGAGAGAGAGAGAGAGAGGGAGAGAAAGAGAGCTCAAGGGGGGGAGGGAGAGAGAGAGGGAGAGAAAGAGATTCTTTGATCAAAGGAATGTTTCCTAATTCAACCATACACTGGAATATTACTGTCACAAAATTCCTTTCATATCTAGATGATGTGGGATAATGAAAGAATGAATCTTTTAGTTCATTGCTTATTGAAGTTCCCACCTGAATCTTTGCTTTGATCAAAGGGGCAGGACAAAGGAGGACTCTAGTTATCCTTGGGTGAGAACCTACTTCTACTAAATAGTTTTTGCTTTTCTTCAGTAGCCAGACAGCTCTGTTGACCCAAGAAAGATATAGTGAAGGATATGAAAATATGTTTTCCCATTTTCGGAAGGAAGAGAGAAACCAGTGAGCCAGAGGCTTCCTCGCCCTTTGAAACCAAATAGGCCAAGACAAATATTATTAAAGTGAGAGTGAAACCATCCTTCCTATTGATTTTTACTTCCATTTTTACTATTTTCTTTAAGATTGGAGTTTCTAGTAATGACAATGCCATTTCATATGATGGCCTCCAATGCAGAAATGATGAAAGTATGAGCTGCAAATGTGATGCTGGGAATACAAACTTCATTTGCACATACATCCTATCAGGCAGATTGGAAACAAATACTCCTACTACTAATATTGTGGTTTAACTATTTATCCATCTAGTGGATAAATAGAAGTGTTTTGCTCAGAATTAAGCCATTGCACAATATAAACCTGCTCCCAAATGACAAGGATTTTTGCTACTAATATTTGCCTTCATTCTCATTATTTTAAGTAAAATAAGTTTCACATCTAACTACCTCAGCTACTGTTGTTTTATTTAGAAACATAAAATCATGCATTTTGTGATCAACAAGTCTTTTCATTTAAAATTTCAAAAGGATACTTGGTGCAGAATAATTTTCAAAAATGTGTCTACGACATAAGCAACCCAACCTCAGGAGGGTATACTTCTGTTTGTTTTGCTTTGGGGTAAAATCTCCATATCTACTTAACAGAAAGAGAGGCTGTTCTAAATTTGCTTAATATGCCTTAAACATATTGTGCTCTTTTCTCTAATTTTTGTTGTTTTAAATCTAATCTCTGAAAAAAATGTAACAGGTGGCAAATGGACAGCAAACTGAAGAGGACAACTAATTTCTCACTTCTCTGTTGTCAACTGTCTGCATGACATTCTGATTGTGCAAAATTGCCATTCCTGTGCTTCTCTCTCCATTGCAGAAATAAGGTGTGTGTGTGTAGAGAATGGTGAAGACATTTCCCCGAGAGCAGGCACAGTGCCTGGACCCAAATGAAAACCCTCATGGTTCTCGTGTTTTTCCTTTGTAAACATTGTATAAATATATTTGGAATTTTATTTGCAATGAAGAATTAAACAGATTGTTAATTTTTTTCCTGCCTGTAAATAGATATATTCACATTCCATGTATCCAAACATTCTTTAGCATTTGGATTATAAGCGTGTCTTCATTGGCTGCTGGCTGCTGTCACCAGGCAGTGACCCTGAGTGCTCTTGCTCAAAGCACAGTGCGTGGAGTATTTGATGTATTACAGTACCATAGTTATTTTGGTCTGTTAAGTAAGTTAAATTCATGATGAAATGAAGTGGAAAGTAGTACTTCATGATGAATCAATTTCCTTGGTTACCTGATTTTCCTTTTAAAATTTAAAAAAAAACTTGAAATTTTATATATTTGGATTTTGTAGATTTTTTTTTATTTTATTGCAACACAAGGTACCAAAATCATTAAATAAAGTACACTGTGGTCATTTTAACAGAAATCTGAGTTTTTGATCCTTTTAATTCCATGAAGAGAGCAAAGCTCAGTTGATGTATACTGGGAAGACATATTCGTGCAGGAAATTAACACTTCACCCTAACAGCCACAAGGACTAAGCCCCTAAATGCCTTATTCCACCATGATAGTCACATAATAAGTGCAGTTGCTGCCTTTTCATGTCAAACACAAAATAATAGGTGTCACTTCCAGACCACCTATGAAATCAAAACTTGTCCATAGAACCCTGACAGAGGTGCACACTATGAATCTTTAATGCTGAAAGGCACTTCCGTGAGTGTAGCCAGACTGCATTCACTCACTGGAATTTACACACACAGGCAGGCAGCTATAGCTGCATGCAGTTACAAACTGCACTTCAGGTGATCCACTTCCATTCAGTTCTATGGTGTTCATTATACCAATGAATATCTTAATGTGCAAACAACAGTTCAAATGCCAGAAACACTGTGGAAAGTCAGGCTTCTAAAATGAAATTGTTACAAGGGAAATATTTAGAACTTTCCAAGCCCTTTCTTTACAAGGAGAGTTGCATGACACTTTCCAGGCCAAACTGCCATTGACAAGTGAAGATTTGTCAATTGTAGAGGTGCACTCTACAAATCTGTAATGCACACAGAATGACACTGCAGTGAGTACAGGCTGCCTACATACTTTCTATGCAGTTTATTGACAAACATTGGAAGTTCCAGCTGCTTGTACTGCTAGAGGACAATCACTGCTTTAGGACACAATACAACAATGAAAGTTTTAAAGGGGAAACATCAGGTCCAAACGGGAAGACCATTCGGAACAAATCTAGGCTTCTAACACTAACTCATTATGAGGGAAACTAACCTCTCCAAGCCCATGCTTTGCAACAGAGCACCAAGGCACTCTAAAGACAGTCCAGTGAGTACGAGAAGAATGCATTGATATATGGAGTTTATGACCAAACACTAGTAGTTATAGCTGCTTCCGGTTAGAACCAAATGCATGTCAGCTCATCCACTTTAATTCACTTCTATGGAGAGCAATAGACTAATGAAGACCATTTAGTGCAAACTTAAATTTAAAGAGCAGAACCATTCTGGAAAGTCAGTTAGGCATCTAATACAGAGGTATTAGTAGGGAAAATTTAAAACTTTCCAAGCCCTTTCTTTGCAACACACCTGAATGGCACATTTTAGGCCACACTGCCATTCAGAATAAAAGCTCTCAGTAGTGCACTCCACAAATCTGTAATGTACAGATACATACACTTCAGAAATTACAGTCCACGTTCATTTCCTCTATGGCATTTATTGTCAAACACTGGTAGTTCTACCTGCTTGTGGTTGGAAATAAATGCAACTCAGGTCATCCACTTCCATTCACTTCTATGGAGAGCAGTATAGCAAAGATCTTATAGTGCAAACTTCAATTCAAACTGCAGAATCATTCTGGAAAGTCATTTAGGCTTCTAACATAGAGTTCTTATTAGGGAAATATTTACAACTCTCCAAGTCCTTTGGAACAGAGAGGTATGGTACTTTTTGGGCCAAACTGCCATTCATAGTAGAAGCTCTCAGTGGTGCACTCTTCCAATCTGTAATGCACAGAGATAGACTTCCAGTGATTACAGGCAGAGCTCCTTTTGTCTCTGGAGTAGTTCTAGCTGCTTGCAGTTAGAACCAACTGCACCTCAGGTCATTCACTTCCATTCACTTCTATCCAGGGCAATACAGCAAAGAAAACCTTAGATTGCAAACTTTAATTCAAACCAAAAAACCATTTTAGAAGTCAGTTAGGCTTCTAACATAGAGTTCTTATTTTTTTTTTTAAATGTTAGCAGTTAACATTTATTTATTTCCCATAATTTTATTAGTACATTTCAGGCATACATTATGATCACCTTCATCAATGGGGATTTGTCCCTGTATGCAATACATTTTGGCCTTGTGTTTCCCCATACCTCTTCCCTCCCTCCCCCCTTTACCCCTCCCTATTTACAAAAGCTTTGTTTCGGTTCTTCCTTCTTTTCTCATATTTTTTCTTTCTCTACTTTCCTTTCTCCCACCCCCTTCCTAATTCTCTTTCCCTTTTGAAGCTTTTCTTCCTATTTAACATTATCTATTATACATTTTGGTCCTCATTTACACTTTCAGTTTCTCACAGCAGAGAAACAACTCAGTATTTACACATTTGCATCCTATTTATTTTACGTAAGAATATAGCCTCAATGTGCATCCATTTATGTATAAATGTATCTAGTTTACCATTCTTTTTTTCCATAAATTCTTTTATTGGTACATTTCAGGTGTACAGTACATTCACATTTATCATTGGCTACTTGTATCTGTACATGATGTACCTTGGTTCTTATTTTTTTCCCATTACCTGTGGGCCCTTCACCCGCTCCACACTTCCCTATTTACATAGATTTTGTTTCCATTCTTTTTCTTTTCTCATAATTTTTCATTTCCCTTTCCCCTCCCACCACCCCTATACCTTTGGACATTTTCCTATCTCAAATTATCAATTATTCATTTTAATCATTTTAATCCTTATTTACACTTTCAGTTTCTCATACTAGAGAAACTATTCGGTATTTACACGTGTGTCCTATTTATTTCACTTAAGAGTATGGCTTCAATATGCATCCATTTAGCTATAAATGTCTCTAGTTTCTCATTCTTTGTGGCTGAATAGTATGAAAAAAATGAGTAGTATTAAAAAAATACATCTTTTTTATTCAGTCACCAGTTGATGGGCATTTGGGCTGTTTCTGAGATTTAGCTGTTACAAACTGTGCTGCTATAAACATGGGTGTGCATATATCATTGTGGTATGATGTTTTTAATTCTTTGTGATGATACTCAGTAGGAAAATACCTAGGTCAAATGAGACTTCTAATCTTAGTTTTTTGAGGAATTTCCACACTGATTTCCACAGTGGTTGTACCAGTCTACACTACCACCAACAAAGGAGAAGAGTTCAGTTTTCTTTACAGCCCTGCCAGCATTTCCTATTGGTTGATTTCTTGATAGCAGCCATTCCTTCTGGAATGAGGTGGAACCTCACTTTGTTTTCATTTCCATTGCTCGGGCAACAAAGACAAGATATGGGCTATCACAACACCCAACTTGAAACTATACTGCAATGCTACTGTGATAAAAACAGGATGGTACTGGTAAAGAAACAGATCAGAGGATCAATGGAACACTTTAGAAGACCCAGAAATAACTCCAGACATACTCAGCCACCTCATCTTTGACAAAGGTGGCAAATACCCTTACTAGAGAAGATAGCCTCTTTAATAAACGGTGCTGGATAAATTGAGTTTCAGCTTGCCAAAGATTAAAACTTGACCCATATCTCTCACCATGAACTAAAGTAAAATTGAAATGGATCAAAGATCTAAATATTAAAACAAAGCTGCTGGAAGATAGGTTAGGTAGAACTCTTGAAGACACTGATGTAGGAAAAGACTTTATGAACAAAACCCCAGTTGCACGGGAACTGGCAAAAAGAATCAACAACTGGGACCTCATCTTATTAAAAACCTTTTGCACAGCAAAAAAAAACACAAAAAAAACCCCAAAATAACCAGAAAAAAACCCACCAACAGAGTGAAGAGACAAACCATAATGTGGAGAAAAAAATTTACCATCTGCTCCTCAGACAAAGGTCTATTATCTAGAATATACAAAGAAATTTTAAAAATCAGACTCCTCAAATATAAAGACCAAAAAAAAGGGGACATCTGAAATGAACAGATATTTCTCTGATGAAAAAGTAGAAGCAGCAAATAAATGTATGAAAAAATGTTTAACATCACTGGTCATTTGAGAATAACATAGAGTTCTTATTAGGGAAACTTTTAGAACTCCGCAAGTCCATTCTTTGCAAGAAAGCTCCATGTTACCTTTTAGAGGGAAACTGCAATTCACAGTAGAAGCTATCAGTGGTGCACCCTTTCTATCTGTAATGCAAACAGACAGACACTCCAGTGATTACAGAGTTCATTTTATCCATTGAGTTGATTGCCAAACACTGGCAGTTAAAACTTCTTACACTTAGGACCAACTGCACCTCAGGTCATCTACTTCCATTCACTTCTCTGCAGGGCAATACAACAAAGAAGACCTTAGAGTGCAAACTTCAAACTGCAGAACCATTCTGGAAAGTCAGTTAGGCTATTAACATAGAGTTATTATTAAGGAAGCATTTAGAACTCTACAAGCCCTTTCTTTACAGCAGAGCTATGTTTTACTTTCTGGCTGAAAACTGCCATTCAGAGTAGAAACTCTTAGTGGTGTACTCTTCAAATCTGTAATGCAGATAGGCAAACACTGCAGTGATTACAGGCAGAGTTCCTTTCATCTATGGAGTTGGTTGCCAAACACTGATAGTTGTAGCTTCTTGGAGTTAGAACAAACTGCACCTCAAGTCATCCAGTTCTATTCAATACTTTGGAGTGCATAACAGCAAAGAAGACTTTAGAATGCAAACTTCAAGTTAAACCACAGAACCATTCCAGAAAGTCAGTTAGGCTTCTAACATAGAGTTTTTAATTAGGAAAACATTTAATTTTTTCTTTTTCCTTAAATTCTTTTATTGGAACATTTTAGGTACACAATACATTTACATTTATCATTGGGAACTTGTACCTTTACATGATGTGTCTTTGTTCTTATTTTTTCCCCATTCCTCTGCCCTCCCTTCACCCCCTTCACCCTTCCCTATTTACAAAGACTTTGTTTCCATTTTTTCCTTTCCCTTCTTTCCTTTCCCTGACCCCTCCCCCTTCCCCTACCCCTTTGGACCTTTTTTCCTATTTCACATTATCAATTATTCATTTTAATCTTATTTATACTTTCAGTTTCTCACACCAGAGAAACTATTCAGTATTTATGCATTTGTCCTATTTATTTCACTTAAGAGTATGGCCTCAGTCTGCATCCATTTAGCTATAAATGTTTCTAGTTCTTCATTCTTTATGGCTGAGTAGTACTC